TAAAAAATCTCCAATGTGCAACTTTCATGCTGACTGGCAGCACTTCCAGCATGCTGAGCAGGCCAGCAGTTAAGCTTTAAAAAATGGTGAAAGACAAAAGAAAATGGGAAATGGTTCATAGAGCACATGGTGCTGGAAAACCATCATTGCATAATTGTGTGGATTTTAGAGTGGAAGCTTGTCAGAGTGTGTGGCTCATTCACACCTTTTATAGACAGGGAGTGTCTTGGCCTGGTCACTCCCTGAGTCACTTCTATCGCTGATTTTCATCCTCAGTAATGTGCAGGAGTAAGAGCAGCCAGCCTTGCGTTCACAATAGTTTTCAATTTGCAAAATTATTTTTACTAGCACAGCATTTCTGTGATTATCCAGGTTTCCTCTACTGCCACCTCCCCCCCCTGTCTTTTGAAAGAGTAATTTTGCTTGATTGCTAATTTTATTTCATAAAATGCCACAAGACTGTTATTTTTCTCATAACTGTCTTTTCCAGATTTTTGGTGGAAATTGCTGCTTTTAAGATTGATAGCTATGAACATTTTGTTTATGTAAATGGGATGAATTATAATAGGAAGTCTGGTTTCTTTCCTGATAAAAGTAAGCCTAAAGACAGCATGTGGGGACCTCATTATTGCACACCCAGCTCACCTTAATTCACACCTTGAAAATGGGCCTCTTGATGGTCTCAATCATCATATCAAGGCTGAAATGCTTTCATTATTCATTTTATCACCTGGCAAATGAGTGAGGAGCTTTCAATTCTTACCCCATGGATGCTCCAGTTTATTAGTCTTTTTTCTAGTTCCTTCTTTCCTTGACAGCACTTTAAAACTGAAATCCAGGAATACATTTGGATTTTCCAATGCTTTGAAAACTGTCTCCAGAAGCAGCATCTGTGTTCATGAAGGTGTCTCCTCATGAATTTTGGCAGGTTTCCCTGGCCAGGGCATCACTTCCAGCTCAGATGTCCAGTGCTGTCCTCTGTAGCACAACTGAAAAAGCTTCCTAGTAGGATCCTTGGCACTAAGGAGAATATTCCTGTATTGATACAGCTTCTGTCACATGTAAAAGTGAGTGGTGGGAATTCTGCAGGGGTGTTTGAACAGGGAGATGGGGCAGCTGAATCACTGAAGGCAACAATTGTGCCTCCTGCTTTATTTCTCTGTTCTGTCAGCACCAAATGCAGCATTTTGTGATTCTACCCTTCACAGCTGCTTGCTGCAATAAGTTCCACACCAGATAGTTTGATTTTGCTGTCTTACTTTGAGGCAGTAGTGCAGGGAGTGAGTGCAGCTGGGTGGCTGCAATATTTGAATATTTGGTGTTTGGCCCCTGGAGCTGGGTTCCCATCCCGACACATCCGTGTCTGTTTCAGATGTAGGCTGAGCTCTTATCGGGTCGCTGCTGCTGTTTAATAAACAGCACTTATCTCCTTGAAGCAACACCCTGCCCTAAATAAGTTTTGCCTTGGGAGTTGAGCCAGAAATAGCTTTCCCCCCCTCCCCACCTTATGGGTTTTGTTTTGTTTTTTTTTTCCCTTTAATTGGATCATTAAACCCAAATCATTGACAAAACTGTTCAGGATGGAAATAGAGGGTGGCAGTGGTCCTGCTTTCTGGGCAGCTTGGTGCTTTTATATCTCTGTGAGTCATGCAGGTTATAAAACTGCCTTCCCATCTTTCCCCAGGAATCTGTGCTTCTCTCAGTGTTTCATCTTAGCCTCAAAAATGGGGCTGAACCCTCACTTTTATTCACTGTTTGTCGCTGAAACTCCACTGGAGGAATTGAGCAACATGTGTCCATGTTGATCCCTGAACATTTACAGATATGGCTTTGTAATGCCCCTGTGAAGCATTAAACAACCCCATTTTAAAGCAGAGGGAGGATTTATTGCTTAATTACAGAATTTCTTAATTTGGCAGAAATAGCTTGTGGGGATGTGTGTCCCCTTCCAGTATGCTTCTCTTTGTACTTCCAATATCTAAGTGTAATTTTTTTATTATTTTGAAAATTATAAAAGTCATGATGTACAAAATATGGCCCAGAAAAGGAAGAGCAGTGGAATTAGGATGTGGCAGTAGATACAGAAATGTTAGAAGGCATAAAAATCATTGGGAAAGAGAAGGAAATCAATATATTTATAACAGTTGGCCAGGTAATAGTGGTAAGGCAATGTGCAATGCAGAGTGTGGATAACAAGAAATGGAACTTTAAAATACAGGAGCCTGGATAGAAAATGAAAATATTTTATAATGTGTGGTGTAATGAGAAGCATGGAAACACACAAAAATCACAGAATAAAGTTGATGACTAGGACATAATTTTCAAATGGAATAATTCTGTTACTGAAAGATGAAAATAAAAATGTGTGCAGTGGTGATCTGTAAAGGATTCAGCAGCAGGGTGACTGAAAATGCATGTGGGAGACAGATTATTTTAAAATTTGAGAGAGGGGGTGGAAGTGATGGCAAACAGGATTCTGGAGGAGGAGAGGTGGCTGCTTTGTGCACATCCTCTTGATCAGATTTGGAGGTGGATCACAGAAACCTTTGGTGAATTGCAGGTACAAATATTTGTGGGAGTATTTTTGTATTTTTTCTGCTACTTCCCAGCTGGAGTGGCAGTGCTGTCAATAACTCTGTTAGGTGTCCTGTCCTCAGCAGAGGATTCCTTCCACTGAATGTCACAGCCAGTGGGAATTTGTCACACCGAACAGGGGAAATGGTGACACCAGGGCCACCTGAGTGAGTTAATCACCATCAGAAAAATGTGAAGTTACCAGAGGGCCTGGAAGTGTTGGGAAAAAATGGAAATTGATGTCTTAGAAATCAGGATGTGTGGGAATTTAGGAAAAATAAAGAGCCAAAGGTTGAGCAGAATCATGAGCTGTGTTTTGTCCTGCCTTGAGGGATGGAGGTGGCAAGGGCAGATGCAGAGGGGCTGCTCCTGCCTTACAGATAAGAGCTAAGGTGATATCTAGTGTTGGCTTAGAGATAAGAGCTTAGGTGATATTTGGCTCGATTCCTCAGGGCAGCTGTGGACACTGCAAGAGCAATGTGGATGCATAATACTCAAATAAAAATTGCTATATTGCCATTGAAGGCAAAACTGAAGTACTGAAACATGAAGTTTTAGGTTATGGAAATACAGATCTTCAGCAAGAAGTTATTTTAATTTGTTGATTGTGTTAGTGTAGGAGAACACCAAAGTCTTTAATGGCAATGTTTATAAAAGGGAGGGGAAATAAGGGAAATGGGGTTTCAGTAGCCTGAATTAGAAGGGTGGATGCCATAGAATATGTTTGGGAGACCAGAAGCAAGATTTTCAAAAATTAATAAGATCAGAAACAAGATTAAAAAAAAATAATAACAGATCCCTCTATCATTTCCCCATTGTCAGATCTTCTTAAGCATTTGGTGCTTGGGGAAATTGGTGCTGACTGTTAGGAGGGTGGTAAAAAAAGGGAGATACTCATGAGTGGGAAACTGGCCATGGGAAGTGTTGAGGGGTAAAGTGGGGCATTGATGCTGCTGATGTTGGGAATGGTTTTATTATTTCATTAGCATTGAAATGAAGTGTTCATTATGAAATGTTCATTAGCAAACATTGCATAAATGTTAGGAATAAGTATGTGAAATTTCATCACAGGTATGGGAGGCATTGTCAGGAAAAGGAGAATCTGAGCATCATTCAGAAAGCAGCAGGTTAATAGATATGGGTTAGAAAAGTTGATTTATTAAAGACAATATAGCTGGAGGTTCATAGGGAATTGGGAGATGATCTTAAACACCTGAAATGGGTGCACCTGCCCTGAGTGGTCACTGGATGGCCTTTACAAGTGGTACAGCAAGCAAAAGCAGTTTAGAACTCATTAATCTGCCTTTTCCAGTTGAGAGGTGGAAGCACAGTGTGGTTATCACTTAGTCTGCTCCAGGAAAGATCACTGGAAGGATGAGAACGATGAAGTCTGATTTTTGAGCATGGACTAACAGAAGGGGCATAGCCTAGAATTTAGTATTAAATGTGTATTTGGTTTAAATCCAGAAGTGCTGTCAGGAGTATTCAATATGAAGGCCGCCAAATATAACCTGCCATGAATAAATAAAAATGGAAGGATGTTTTCTGAGCATTAGAGAAAGTCAGGGTGGAAAAGTGGTGACAGATTTGTTAATGAAGGGATGTGAATTGTTTCTGGTGCTAGCAGAGAACTGAATTTGATAATCTTAAGAAACCACACCTGGATTCTTACATAAGTAATGAGAAACCTCCTGGGTTCTTTCACATGTGAAGATTGTGCTGCAAGTTGTTGTTGCTCCAGAGCACAGAGCACCTGAGCACTGAGGCTGCAGAAGTTTTGAGTGCTCAGGTTGGTACCTTGCACCCTTCTCTGTGGATTTTTAATGGATTTTCCTGGACTGAAACAACAGCAAACTGCCTTTGTGCTTCTGCTTCATGTTATCTGAGCAACAGCTGATGTTTGACCTCAAGAACTGAGCACAGCAGCAGTAGAATATTTGCTCTGTTTTCTGTGTGAAGGAAGCAGTAGGATATAGTTCAGTTCTTATACAGGATTTTGCAGAGAGCTGCAGCAGAGAGGAAAGTGGTGGAAACTCCATTTTATAGGTGGTTGCTCAAATAAATGTGGGTAGATCTGTTTTAAAATTAAAGGAAGAGCTTGGCTCTTGCTTTCCTGCTTGCCCTGTGAAATTCTACCCAGATGACTTGTTATATAGGAAACTGCAACTGATTTTAAGATGTCTTTCAGTAATTGGGGCTATGAAATACAACAAATTGTGAACCAGCATGAGAAAGAAAGAGAAAACAGAATTCATGATCTCCTGAAAGCAGGGTTTGGGCTTTTTTTTTTCCATTTTTAGGTTGTTTAAAAGGAGTAATAGTTTAAATGTGCTGGGTTTCCCTGATCCACTAGCTGTAAATTTGCTGAAATGTCAGTTTGAGGCAGCTGATGATGGCTAAGTTGTGCTTTCTCTCTTTTGCAGTGCTCACACCTCCTCCCCCATTGCCACCACCAATACAGGGATATGCCTTTAAACCTCCTCCTCGACCAGATTTTGGCACTTCTGGGAGAACAATCAAACTGCAGGCCAACTTCTTTGAAATGGACATTCCTAAAATAGATATCTACCATTATGAATTGGATATAAAGCCAGAAAAATGTCCTAGAAGAGTTAACAGGTAACACTGCACTTTGCCTTTCCTCAGTTTATTTGCTGTCTTGTTTTTCTTTGAAAAAGCTGGAGCCAGGTGCCCTCCCTGGTGTCTGGAATGATGTCTGGCTTTAATCAGTGATTGCACTGATCACTTCAATTAACAGGATATGTAAATACTTTTTTTTTTTTCTTCCAAATCTTTACTGGGATTGATTTTGTCAGAATCTTAAGATGCTGCTGATTGAAGCCACTGGTGGCAGATGGATAAGCTGTATTAGCTCTATTAAAGCTGGGTCAGTATAAACCAACTTGATAAAAGTGATTTCTTATTACCTAAATAAGGTTAAATATTGGGGTGTAATTGGCTGAAGTCCTTCAGCAGGGAGCTGGTGGTTCCAGCTTCTTTTCCCACCTTTCCCTGCTCACAAGAGGTGACAAAACCCATTTGTTTGTGGGAGAGGATTATGGAGTTACTAAAGCAGGTAAGAAATTCTCCTTCATCAGTAGATTCTATATAAGGGAAAGCTCTGCTCCTGAAAGAGAGAGCAAGGTGAAAACAGGGCTCAGCTGTCCAGGGAAACAAAGCAGCCAGGTCTTGCCTTTGGCACCTGTGCCCTGTTGGAGTGTGCAACTTCATTGACTTGAAAAAGGAGCAGCCTTGCCAGGAGTGAAACTTGAGAATGAGACTTGGCACCCGCTGGAAACCACAAGTGTCATCATCATAACTACACCTTGACTCTGGAGGATGGAATGGCCTGTTTATATATTCAAGAGCAAAGCCTTTCCTTGTTAAAAAGGTGACATGGGTGGAACCAGCTGTCACTAGAATAAACAGTGTGGAGTCAAAAAAGCCACCTGAAAGCCACGGTTTTCCTGCTGTGAGTTAATAAACCTGAGGGCATTCCCATTGTTACACTGAGGAGTTGGTAATGATAGTGTTCTCACAAAGCAGCATCACCGTGCTTTGCTGCCCTGGTTCTTTTTTTACTTCCTGTGGTGATCTATGATTAGTTTAATTTTTCAGCTAGTCAAGAGCCGAGGTTAATTTCAAAAGCAAACACGGTTGTTAAGTGCATGAAGCTGAACTCTCCTCTTGCCCAAGGCAACTGCTGATTTCACTGAGGTGCTGTTCCTGCATTGGAGGACTGCAAAACACTTGGAGCAGTCACTTTTTTATAAGGGGAGCTGTGAGAAATTTGCTTTCCTGACCTGTCCCTGCCACCACTCCAGCTGTGCCAGCTGCTGCTGATCCAGATTTCCTCTGCAGCTCTCTGGGGGCCAAGTGCTGCACAGCTCATGTGTATTTTCTGTGTGAGCACCTCCCTTACAGTCCTCCCTTGCCACAAAACCTCAAGCAGTCTTTCTCGCTGGAAGGGCAGATTCTGTTCAGTAGCAAGTTCTTCCTCCAGTGCCTGCTGATGACCTGCTCTGCTTGGCCAGTTAGTCACTCCTGTTCTGTGGTGACAGGAGCAGGTACAGACCTACACAGGTGAAATGCCTTTTGCAGTAAGCAGAGATGCCACAGATGCATTCAGCAGTGCTGTGGTGGATCTTTCTCAGGGCAGTGTGGTAAAAACACAATTTGGATTCACATATTAAAGTGTGGTTTATTTCTTTTGAGTGCTTACTTCTGTATTCTGTAGATGTACCTGTACTCACCTGCACCTGGGCTTTTGTGAGCTGTGACCTATGTCTATACATGAATTTCTGTGTGTGTGCAAATATATATTCATATTTTATTCAAATACATATATCCTATATATATATTAATATATATATTCAAATATATACCCTATATATATATCTCATATATATCTCATATATATATATCTCATATATATATATATATATATAGGATTATGCAGGATGCACATGTAATCCAATTCTGAATGATGATTTTTTACAGCTGCATTACAGGTTTCTAGTATTTTAGTTCTATAATTCACATGTATGTAGTAGGTAGTTTTTATCATTGTTTTTTGTGATACAGCCTCTAGAAAGGAGAGGGGGAGGTTTTATTTTTTGCTCTACTCCCTCATGTGTGTCAGCTTTGTTCTTCAGTTTTACTGCAGTTGTGCTGTGACCCTGCAGACCCCACTGCAGGGTGTATCCACTGTGGATGCAAGTTCCACACTGAGACATGAGCTGGAGCAGGACTGGAAAACACAGCTGGAACAACATGCTCCTGAATAATACAGTCTGGCTACAAATCAGGCAGATCAGTTTGGGTAGCTGGGCAGGCAGAGTGGGCAATGTGAGTTTAGTTCTGCACTCTGGGTGCTCTCAATTTAATTTTTGAGGATTTGTGCAAGGTGAGCTCTGCCTGCAGTTGCCAGCCCAGGGTTCTTGGTGAGCTTGCATGAGCTTGGTAGAACAGTTGTCCCAAGGGGCTGAAGTTAATGAAGTGGTAAATAACTCTTCTCTTAACTCTGCATGGAGAAAATAACTTATTTTTCTTAAAAATATCTCCACCCACAGCTGAGAAGCACCATAGCTAATTGTGGATGTGGTTTGAAGCTTGAAAACATAAATCAAGTGGAAGTATTCATTTTTTTATATGAAGCAGTTGACAAGTGGAAGAACTTGCTCAGGAGGAGAGTGGGGTTTCCATGCTCAATCTTAAGGTTGAAAAATACCTTCTTCCTCCCAGTTATGTACTTATTCAGTCACACTCTGAGGCAGATATTACTGGGTCAGGTTTGATTTATGGTTTGCAGGAGGTCAGAGTTCCTTTCAGTAGCCTCATCTTATTTTAAGGTAAACCTTGGGACACAGCAAAGAAATTGCCAATTAAAACAATCTCAGTTCTTTCCTTGGGTGAGTTCAGTTTTGTCTCATATTTTTCAGCACTGTAATCCCTACCTGAGTGCTGGGTTAATTCCCTTGCCAAGTCAGGGTGCCTGAGCAGCCTCTGTGAGCTGGTGGTGTCAGCAGTGCTGGGGGAGCAGTGGTTTCCTTTCTGTGCCCCTTTAACTTCTCAGTGCCCTTTTGGCCCTGATTGTGTGTTAAGATTGCAGCCTGCAGATGGATTTTGGGTGGTACAGGTGCACTGAGGGATGTCACTCTGGGACACTGGGACCAAAAGACCTTTGGCATCAAAAAATGTCATTATTCCAGCTTCAAAAAATGTTATTATTCCAGCTGACCTCTCACTGACTGCTGAGCTGCTTTGGATGACCAGTGTGTAAACACTGTGGTTTGACAGGAGCTGTGTGAGTGGTTTCCCTGTTCATATAGAAATGGAATCTAATTCCAGCTACTTTTAAATGAATGTGTACTGTTGATATTCACAGCTCTACTGAGTGCACATACCCAGTTTTGTTGTGTGCATGAAAAAAAATGCATTTAAAAATTCTTTTTCTCAGGGAGCTGCAAAACATTTCACTATCATTGTTGGCATAAACTGCTGTCCTGACTTTGGGGCTCTAAGTTGGGATAATGATATTTTTTGGGATAATGATATTTTTGAAAGCTTTTCAGCCTCTGCTGGGCTTTTGGTCCAGGGTCCTCTGCAGAAAGGGCTGTAGGACAGGGGAGCTGAAGCCCCAGATCTATCAGGCACTTTTTGTTTTGAGCTTGAGAGAGCATGAGCTTTCACTTCACCACTTCCAGTAGATCACACAAAAGAGGAAGGAAAGTTTAAATTTGAAAAAAAACCCTAGAAATAGCATTTTTAAGAAAGCAGTTTAGTCTGTGAAAAAGTTGCTTTCAGTTCAGATCAGTCAAATCTTGCCTTTAATAGACGGGAGTGGACAAACCCTTTCATTTGCCTAATGCCTCTGTTGGTAAATATAGTACTTGTCTGTCTCTTAACATTCAAAGTAAAAAGTTGGATTAACTTAATCTTTTTGCATTTTCAGAGAAATAGTGGAGCATATGGTTCAGCACTTTAAAACCCAGATTTTTGGGGATCGCAAACCAGTGTTTGATGGAAGAAAAAACCTTTATACAGCAATGCCACTTCCCATTGGGAGAGATAAAGTAAGTTTTAAATAGAAAAAAATCTAGGCATTTCAATGTGATGTTTTCAGAATATTTTTAATAACTAATAGAAACTGATTTTCTGTTTGTTTCTGCAATAGCTGTCTCTGTTGTTGCCACTCTGCTTTGCCAGGACACAAGTGTGAGCTTGCTGCTATCCCAGTGGTCACTCCCTGTTCTATATCCCTTCATTCCTTCCCCTCTCTCTCGCCTCTGGTGTGATTTCTGCTGCTTTAGGGAGCTGGATCAGCTGCCCCAGACAGCAGAGTGTCTCCAGAGTGGCACTAAGGAAAAAGGGAGAGCACAGCTGAGTGTGGGAGAGAGGAGGAAAATCCTGCTCTGGGCAGCAAGAAGCTGTTGTGTCACCTCACTAATCTCATCAAGGCCCACTCTAAGCTTATTCTCACTATCAGTAGCTGAAAGAAGCTCCTCCATCTCTCTGTTGCCTGTATTGGAACTTCTCCTCCCTAATCCTTGATGACTGAGAGCCAAATTAATTTACACTGCACAGGTTAAGACCTGCAATCTTTGCCCTGGGGCAGCTGGAGAGGGCTGGGGTTGTGTTTGCCAGCTCCTGGTGGGGCAGTGACCTCTCTGGGCTCTGGCTGTGGCTGCTCCTGTGCCCATTGACTGCTGGGGTGGAAGGGGCTCTGTTGGAACATGCAAACACACAAGCCCTAGTAAATAATTGAGCCTGTGCATCTGTGATCCCATGGCAGATTGAATTTTCTGTGCCTTGTTTTCATTCAGGTGAGTCCCTGAGGGAGGGCACAGTCGTTCTCTTTGGTACTGCTGTAGTTCCCTTCTGCTGGGGTGCACACTTACAGGGAGGACTCTTCTGTCTTCAGCTTTAGACAAAAATAAAACATAAGGGGGGAGATAAATACAGAGAAATGGCCCTCTGAAATTCAGCAGCTATAAAATAGTTCAGGTTGTTGTTTGCTGTCTCATGTTCAGTGCCTGTGCAGTGCTTGTAGTTAATAGTTCTGCCTGAATCAAGCTCCTAATCTCATATGTGTAATTTTTATTTCCTCCCAATTTATTTAAATGAATGCCATGCAGTAAAGGTCAGACTCTACTCCAGTGTTAATTACTTTTCATAACTGATAAGGGAATATCTGGGAAACTATAAAGGAATCACTAAAAGTTGTAGTGTTTTTTTTCCTCTTGCTTTCACATACAATATTCCAGTTCCTACAGGTTTGACACACAAGACTGCAAAGTATTTGCAGAGGTGGAAGGATACTTGATGAGAGTCTCTTAGGGGTTTGAACCACTCTGGATCTGTGCAGAGTTGCTTTATAATACATTACAAATTATGGGTGAATAACAGTTTACCTTATGACTAGTATGAAGTTCCTCATTTAATAAGTAAAGGTAAATGAGAAATGATTTATTTATACATGATAAACAGGGATCAAATTAATCCTCAGATCTAATGAGATTTTATGAGATGCAAATTGGCCTTCCTTGCTCTGATAACCATTTTGGATGGGACAGAGTTAACAAAACCTTCCAAGTCAGCCTTTCCCAGCTATAGGGGTTACACTGTTGGTTTGCAAGGACACAAAGGAATTGGGCCATTAGGAACATTTCCTGCTGCCACACTGTCCCAGATTTCAGTTTCACCATGTGTATGTCAGTGTGTGTGAGCTTTGAAATCCAAAGCATCAGGAATAGAGTCCTGTCTGCTCAGCACAGGCACAGAAGGAGCATCTCACCCAAAAAATCATCTCATCCTTTCCCAGTCTTGCCAGAGCAGTCATCATTTGGAGTGGGGGGTCACGGGGAGGTGTTTGTGGTGGAGTTTATCATGAGAGAGTTTCAGGTGGTTTCATTTGTGGCTCACTTTCTATAAACTCCCATTTTTCCCCTGTTTCCCGTGGTTAAAGGGCTCTGTCACTTGTTCTGCTCCACATATATTAACCTTACCCTGGAGGAAAGAGCTAACAGAGATAAATCTTGAGCTGTTTTAAATGAGATGTGGGGAAATTTAGCTTAATGAAGGAAATTTTTACATGGTTCTAAATTGGTTTAAGCATGATTTAAACCACTATAAAGCTTGTAGATATTAGGACTTTCCTCCAGCATAATTAGATTAGCTTTCTTTGGTGGTTTTTTTTTGACTGTTCTGTACATAGCAAACATTGCAAGTTTACTGCACATCTGATTGCATTTAGGATCATATTGAAAAGATTAATGAACATACAATAATTAATCTATGTGGAAGATCTTAATTGACTTGCACTATGCACTGGTAGTGGAAAAGCTGATGTTAAACAGAGGGCTGACACCAAATTGCCAAGGTTTTCCTCCTCCTGTTGCTCTTTTAATTTAATTAATGCACTCTGTCCTCATCTCTTGTTGTAGTGGTTGTTTTTGGCTTGTTTTTTTTTTTTTTGTACTTGCTGGCAGCTCTGCTTCTTTTATAGCTTTTTCTTCTCTATACTTTTCTGCTTGGCTATCATGGTTATCAAATTTGTTTTCATTCCTCCCTTAGTTACCTTATTTTCACTCTTAATTTTAGACCTTTAGGACAAATATGGAATATGTGAATATTAACAGGATATTTTCTTAGTTTTTACTTGTACATATTGAGAAGAAAGAAGTGTTTAGGACACTGTCAAGGTATGAAGATACTAAAAGTCTCTTCTTTCCCTGTAGGTTCTACACAGCAAACCCAGGTCACTTCTAACAGCAGCTTTGTATGCAATTCCTGCTTTACTTGTGTATTTCCTTAAAATATCCTTCTGCAGTTAAAAGCTGGAATTTAATTTTACCTGAACTTGGAAGTTTTCTCACCTAGGAAGATTCAAGAGCAACTGATGTATCTTAACCTACATCTTCATTAGTTTTTATTAGAAAAACAGTAATTAGGAATGAACAGAGCAGCAGCTTGGTACAGAAATCCTGCTGCTATTCCCTTTCTAGAAGGAAAATGTTAATTCTGTCTGTGGCCACAAATTTGCCTCTCTTTGTCTTTCTGAAGTATTGCTAAAGACTCTGCACATGACAGAAACAGCTCTTGCCTACACCCATAGCTTGTTAATCTGTTTTCCTCTGAATCCCTGGGAAGGAAAAGCTCTTGGATTAATGGAGAAAAGGTACATTGTATGCTCAAAGCATGATAAATAATCATGTGATGTTGCATTTATTTTATGGAGAAGAAGAAATACCAAGAATTCCTCCAAAACACATGGTCAGGTGTAAAGTTTTTTTTAACAGTGAAAATTCTGATTTGTGTGAGTCATTCAGAGCGCATCAGCCTCAAGACCTATTCTTTTTAAGAATGACTTTGAGATTTTTCTACAGGCCTAATGATTTTTCACATCCTGACAGTAAAATCCTTTTAATTTAGTTCCTTTAGCTGCAAAATTGTCAATTCTGTTGCAATTTAGCAGTGAGTTCACCAGGTAGCATCCTGACATTTATTTGGGGTTAGAGGAGAAAACAAACCTTGTATTTTGCTTTAGGATGTATCCCTAATAATGAAGGACATAGTAAAATTCCCATCTAAAACTACTTTGTCCTAATTTTTTCATATTTTGCTTACTTTGCCGAACATGAGAGTGTTCATTTGTCCTCAAAAGTACAGAGTGGGATAAATAAAATATTGCTGAGAGAGGAAAAATTCTGATTAGCAGTGCCTAAAAGTGTATGACAACTTTTGGATGTGGATTAAGGATTTTTTAAAATATATTTTCATGATTTTTTTAATAGGGTGAGATATTTAATTAAAAAAAAAAACAGGAAAGTTTTATTTAAACCTTATTTCTTTTAGCAGTGACTCCTAATTCAACTCATTTGGAGTTAGACCCAGCAGCAAAAACTGTTTTGGGCCAAATTCAGCAGTCACAAAAGTTAGCTCTGCTAACTTTTACTGGTATTTGCAGCTGGGCACGTGGAATAGAAATTCTTCAAATCCCTCAATTTTATTTCCACCAGGGACAAGGTCCTGCAGCACAGATTGCTCTTCATCTCCCATTCCATCATGGTGAAGGAGTTTTGTAAACTGATACCAAGAGAGGAAAAAAAGTAAAATTAATTTTTTTTTTTTTTTTTTTTAGATTAAGGGCACCAAAGCATTCAATAATCAGATGAGTTGGGTATGAGCAGTATTGGGAATAAATATGGAGTGGTTGTGGTGGGAAGGGACCTTTAAGGCCACCCTGCTCCAAGCCCTGCCATGGGCTGGGACACCTTCGACTGGACCGGGTTGCTCAATTAGGAATGATGAAACTTGATTTGGAGGAGAGGCTTAAAGGAAAATGCAGGTCAGGTGTGGCAGACATCTTCCACCTGCTGTAAATGAGAGGCAAGGTGAGAACATTTTGATGGTGTGGTGGAAAAGAGACCTCATGGAAAGCTTCCAGCCTGTGTGAGCTGAAGAGCACAGCAAAGTTTCTTTGCCCAGCTTTCAGCAGGGCTGACCTGGGCCAGGCTCACAGCAGTGTCCCCAGATTAGGCTCAGTTCCCGTTGCCCTCCCACAGCTGTGCAGCTCCTTCCTCTGCTCCAGTCTCCCTGGGGCATGATGTTTGTGCTGGAGGAAAGATTCGGCTGTAATATTAATTTTGTGTGCCTGCTATAGATGGTAAACTCATTTATAGGGGCACATGGAAGACTTCTTATTTTATATAAAGTTTTTTATATATTAGTAAGTATTTTATATATTAAAAAGTATATTAAATATTAAAAAAGTGTTTTATATATCAAATAAGTGTTTTATATTTCCTTCCTATTTTTGACCAAAGAAGAAAATTGTTGCAAGAGACCAAATGCTGACAGATACTATTTTGCTGTTAGCCACCTATTATTTTTGCTAATTATACCTTGCCTCTTAGGTGAATAGCTTTTACATTTAAATTACAAGCTCCCTAGCAGGGAAAATGCAACGTTTTTGTTTGTATCCAGCACAAAGGATACTCTGATCTTGTTATTTCTTGTAGTCACTCCCAGACCTGATCCTTTCAGACAAGCCCTAATTTTAGTCGGCTTAACAACCTTGGTGCTCAGACTTCCTTTGTTTTAAGAAAGAGGAGAAATCAGCATTAGAAAAAATTACTAGTAATTGGCTGAAGTCATTTACCACAATGTAGTTTGCCACTAATTTTTAGACAAAAAATTCCAGGTAGGGCATACCATGGCAAAGTGGTGCCCCTGTTTCCTATCTGATACCATCACTGGCACTGGGGCTTGTAGTTTATTCTTTGTTTTCTTACTTTAAAAGTAACAGTTTTGGCTTGGTGGCTTTTGTGGCTTTTCTGTTTTCTTTGGGTGATTGATAATTTCTTCTTTTTTCGCTTTTAAAGCTCCTTTCTTCTCTTGTTTGAGCTGTGTCTGCAGCAACAGTATGTAAAGCACTCTGGAGAGCAAATACCAGAAAGTCATGAATCCTGGCAGGTGGTGACACCCCGTGCTTTATTTTAGGCGTGCAGGAGCTGACACGAGCAGCGACGCGCTGGGGCGTGTTAGGGATCTGAAATCAGGTTATGGGATCTTCACTGGGACCTCCCCGTTGATATGAGCGCCTCCAAGTTCCAGTGTTGCCTCACAGAGGAGATAAATGCCAGCTGGGAGGCCCTCCAGGCTTCTGAAATACCCCTTGGGGCAGATGGAGCTGTAGAAAGGGGCTGTACCTAATCCATGGTGTTGCTTCATCCTAGCTTTTTGTCTCCTCCCCTGCTTTGTGGTGTTGTTCAGAGGAATCCATTGTCCCTTCTGATTTCCCCCCTTCCAATGGAAAGAATCATCTTGGTTTGTTGTTTGGCATTGTTGCAGGTGGAGCTGGAGGTCACTCTGCCAGGAGAAGGAAAGGACAGGATATTTAAGGTGGCCATCAAGTGGATGTCCTGTGTGAGCCTGCAGGCTTTGCACGACGCTCTCTCTGGCCGGCTGCCGAGCGTCCCCTTCGAGACCATCCAGGCCCTGGATGTGGTCATGAGGCACTTGCCTTCCATGAGGTGAGGGGAAGCTCTGGAGGTGCTTTAGGTGTGACTTGGGGCTGTTTTCACAGAATCACAGAATAATGAGGTTGGAAGGGATCTCTAAGATCATCCAGTCCAACCTATGCCCTAACACCTCAGCTAGACTGTAGCACCAAGTGCCACGTCCAGTCTGTTTGTAAACATATCCAGAGATGGTGATTGTGCCACCTCCCTGGGAAGAGCATTCCAGTACTTTATTTTGGAGGCTCTTTGGGCAGTCTGTGTGGCAATGGCAGGCTCAGCAAGAGGCCATTGGTGCTTCCCTGGTCACCTCCAGCCTGGACATGGGAGCCTTTCCCCAGAGGTGTCAGACTGGCCCATGGGTGTGTGTCTCAGGTCAGGGGGGCTCTGCCATCTCTCTTCCCTCTCTGGCCTTGGAGAAGGAGGCTCTCTCAGGTGGGAAGAGCTTGGAGGTTGGTAGATTATTATTAATACCTTATTAGTATAGGTATTTTTTGGGAAATGCCCTGACAAAGGCAGGAATGATGCATCTGACTCCATGTTCTCAGAAGGCTAATTTATTATTACTTTCTAATACTGTATTATATTAAAGAATACTAAGCTATACTAAAGAATGCAGAAAGGACACTTACTGAATGCTAAAAGATAATAATGAAAACTTGTGACTCCTTCTCAGAGTCTCAGCACAGCTTGGCCCCAATTCACCAAAGAGTCAAAACTCCTCACACCAGAGTCCAATGAAACAATCACCTGTGGGTAAACAATCTCCAAACACATTCTCCACATGAGCAAAACACAGGAGAAGCAAATGAGATAAGAATTGTTTTCCTTTTCTCTGAGGCTTCTCAGCTTCCCAGGAGAAAATTCTTGGGCAAAGGGATTTTATCAGAGAATGTGAATGCCACAGTGGATGTGGAAGGGTGGATTTAAAACAACTTCTTACCCTGTTCCTGTGTGTCTTGGATGGTTATTGCCAGTTTGTATGAAGGTTGCAGTGCTAGGGGGACATTAATGTCACCCTGTGTAGCTGTTTAGATAGGAAAGAAAAAATTGGGAATTATTTGTTTGTTTTTCAAGTGGGACCTACAGGATTTTCAGTCTCCCCCAAGAGATACTGGGCTTAATTCTGCTGCTGTGGCACAAGTCACTTAAGATCACTGTGCAGATTATATTTAATTAGAAAGCAAAGAGCAAAGTTTAGTAGGGCTGAACTTTCCCATATTGAAGCTCTAAACAGGTAATATGAGTTAAATACATGTAAGTGTCTTTAAATAGCCTTATAGTATGTTGACTTTATCCTCAAATTTAGGATAAAAAAATATAAAATTACTTCAATCAGGTTTTACAGCACAGAAAGCAGCCCAGAATGTCAGATACCTTTGTTCAGAGGAGCACATTGCCTCTGGACATGATTTGTTTGTTATTAAGTTTGCAGTACTTAATGATCAAGATAAAAGATAAATTAGAAATATTTGTTCACTAAATATCACTTATTTACCCTCTCATAATTTCTATAATTTAGAGTGTGGGGAGAGATTGTTACCTTGGTGTTTTAATGGCAGAGACTTTGAATTCTTTTCTTATGGAGGCACAGCTGATGTTTTAAAAGAGTACAAATAAAAAGTTATTGATGCTTTTTTGTTGGAATTAGTAGATATATTAAATTTAAACCTGAGTAGTAGCCAGTTTCTTACTGCAACAAGCTGGATTTTGAGAGATGTGACCTGAGTCTTGCCAGGAATCTCAGGTTATTGGTAATTTTAAACACTGACATTTCTGTGCTTTTGTGAAAAGGAATTTACATTAATTATGGATTTATTGCAATTTTTGCTTTAGTTTTCTGGTGTGAATTTATTTGTTTTCTTGCAGGTATACTCCTGTGGGGAGATCTTTCTTTACAGCATCAGAAGGGTGCTCAAATCCTTTGGGTGGTGGCAGAGAAGTTTGGTTTGGCTTCCATCAGTCAGTCAGACCTTCATTATGGAAAATGATGCTAAATATTGATGGTAGGTACTAGGAAGGATTTTCTTGTTTCTTCTTGCTCCTTGATGTAAAGGCAAAATTTCAGTTCCATTTGTTGGATTTCCTAAGAATTCCCTTGGTATTGTTATAACTCATCATTAATGTTTTTGTCTGCAGTGTCTGCAACTGCATTTTACAAAGCACAGCCAGTTATTGAGTTTGTCTGTGAAGTTCTGGACTTCAAAAGTATTGAAGAACAACAAAAACCTCTGACAGATTCCCAAAGGGTAAAGTTTACCAAAGAAATAAAAGGTAATAAGGAAATTATATACAGCTTTAAGGAAATTATATGCAACCTTTATTCTGTCTGATGTGTTACCACTATGTGTTTTAAATATTTTCTACAGCAGTTGCCAGATTGGGAGACAAAAAATTTTTTGCTTTTGGAACATATCAGTAGTACCAATCCCAGTTTCATGACAAAAGGTTTGCAGTTCCTAATCTGATGATTTCTAAATGTTTACAAAGGATTGGGATTTAATGTTTTTTTTTATTACCCAATCTTAAATTTTTCTAATTTCTGATACCAGTTTTTTTAATATTTCAGATTTACTAATAATTTAGCAGTGTGTTTTACATACTTAGGCATCTGTCCTGCATATACTCTCTTGGAAGGAAATAAGAAATTATTCTAGTGTGTAGTGACTGAATCAAAGAGAACAGGAGGAAGAAACCTTACTGGTTTTGTTCACTGAAGGGGCTTCCTCTGCAAAATGGAGATCCTTCCTTCCTGATACTCTTGGCAGAAAGCAAGCAATTTTAAAAGGAATAAACCCATCCTGCATCTTCCTTTTATGTTTCCAAAAAACATCAACAAAAATTAGCTTTGCCCAACTAGAAATTAGCAAGGAAAGTGCAAATAAATTTTGAGTTTGCATTGGTTGTGTTTTGAAAGGATAATCTGGCACCAAAGTGCTTCACTGTGGCCTCATTCCCATGAGCTCCTGAGAGGCTCTTTGGGGATTCCCCTCCACCCACACCCCCAGTTCATTGCAGGAGCTGGAGGTCTTACAGACCCTATCTGTTTAGACAGAAATATAAATAAGGGATTTTGTTTCAAGGAGCTTTTGTGCCCTTTTTGTCCTTTCCTCATCCTGGGCTTCCTCAGAGGTCCAGCTCTGGAATTTACAGAATGTGCTCAGCATCATCTGTGTCCTCTGGGGCCTTTGGGATTTCATCTTGTCTCTGAAATTCTGTGTTGAACTTTCGCTGAAGCTCAGGAGTTTTGAATTTTAAGACTGTAAATTGCTTTTTGAGTTCTGTCTGGGCTCTGCCCTTTGGGGCTAAATAAAATGGCTTTATTGCACTGTTTAACTGGTCTCCTGTAGCAGTTTGGGGCTGACATATTGATTTTGTAGAAACAGTGATTTGTTCTTTCCAATTTTTAGGTCTGAAGGTGGAGATAACACACTGTGGACAAATGAAAAGGAAGTACAGAGTGTGCAATGTCACCAGACGACCAGCAAGTCACCAAACGTAAAGTATATTTCTGCTTTTTGAGCTAATGTTTGGTCTCAGGTAGTATTTTTCTGCTTTTTAGGCATATGTTTGGTCTCAGGCTAGAAAAACACCTTGCCTGCCTTACTGAGGTGGGAAAAGTTGCCTTGAAAAATGATGCTTTCTTTGGTTAATACCCTTAAATATACCTCAAAGTATTTTCCCTATTTTGCTGTTCTTTTTGTTTTTTTTTATACTATAATGAGTATCATAGCATTTGATTTAGCAAACCATTTGCTCTGTTTTAGATCTGGGAGATTTTTTGGTTGGGTGGGGTTTTTTCTGTCATTTATGGATTTCTTTAAAATTGGAAGCACAGGGTGTCCTGTTTGTAGCGTGATGTTTCCCACAACTGGAATTTTAGAAAAGTGGTGGCAGTTGGGATCAGCCTCCTGATGTTGCTTATTTGCAATCTCTTTTTCCTCTGGAAAAAAAGTTTAACTACCAACCAGAGATTTGCAGATAACTTGAATATGGAGACAGTCATTCCTATTTATAAGGAAGCAATATAAAGAACAAAACTGATAACAGCTTTTTACAAGAAGATAACTGATCAGTATCTGAATCTGGTTTTTAATTGTTTGGGCTTGGTTTCATCCTCCTTCAATAAGTGTAACTTGTGCCAAAAAATTATTGAGGAGTTGTTGGGAAGCATTTTACATGAAGTAATAGCTGCTTGCCATGTTTGCATTCCAACAGATTCCCACTTCAGCAGGAGAATGGACAAACAGTTGAATGCACTGTAGCTCAGTATTTTAAGGACAGGCATAAATTAGTTTTACGCTACCCTCACCTTCCATGTTTACAAGTTGGACAGGAGCAGAAACACACATACCTTCCTCTGGAGGCAAGTAAACTCACAGAGAATTCTCTATTTTGGGGCTGGGGGAAGGGGGTCAGAGGGAAAAAGGGTTCAAATATTGGCAAGCTGTCTTTTGAGCAGCCAAATGTTGAGACATTCAGTGGTGCATCAGAGAAAGAAAAGCCATGACCCAAAAAAAGAATTGAGCTGTGTTTAATTTTCTTTCTGTGGGGAAATTTCAGGTGTGCAACATAGTGGCAGGACAAAGATGCATCAAGAAACTCACAGACAATCAAACTTCCACTATGATCCGAGCCACTGCCAGATCAGCCCCGGACAGGCAGGAAGAGATCAGCAAATTGGTGAGTGCTGTGCCAGACACGAGGCAGGGGTGGGAATGGGTTTAATTTTGCTCACCTTTAGCAGGTGCTGATGTGTTTGTGCATTGCACACAGGTTATGGATGAGCTTGGTTTTGTACATTTTGATCATTTCAGATGCGGAGCGCCAGTTTCAACACAGACCCTTACGTGCGGGAGTTTGGGATCATGGTCAAGGATGAAATGACAGATGTGACTGGCAGGGTCCTTCAGCCTCCCTCCATCCTCTATGGAGGCAGGGTATGTCCAACAGTCTGTGCTGGCCTCTGTAATGTGGTTATTTTAAATTAATTGTGTTGTGTGCAATCAGAGAGCTGACACGGGTGTGAATTTGAATTTAGGTTCTCAAAGTCCTTAAATGTATTGGCTGATTTGCATCTCTTCTGATTGCTGTTTTATTTTGGAAAGTAAAGCTGGGTTAAAAATGCCTTCTTTGCCTCAAACACTCTGCTGCTGTGACACAAGTCGCTTAAGACCAGTGTGCAAATTATATTTAATTAGAAAGCAAAGAACAAAATTTAGTAAGGCTGAACTTTCCCATATCAGAGCTCTAAACAGGTATTATGAGTTAAATATATGTGTCTTTAAATAGCTTTATGTTGACTTTATCCTCAAATTTAGGATAAAAGAAAATAAAATTACTTTAATCAGGTTTTACAGCACAGTCTTTCATTGTGTGTTGTAAGAGGCAGCCCGCAAATAGTGGTTCAAATCAATGTGTATGGAGAAGAACAAAAGAACAAAGACTATTTCAATTATTACTGTATATATCTGAAAATATGCTGAAATATTGCTGAACTTCTGGCTGGTTTTGAATATTCTGGGTGGAGCAACTGTGTTTAGGGCAGCTGTCTTGAGGTATCATCTCTATCAGTCTTTCCCTAGAGCTGTCTCTTCCTGTTTGGAATATTTACCCACAGGTTTTTATTTTACAATGGCTTTTCAGATGGCCTTCCTGACAGAATCTCTCCTGTGATATCTTTTTTAAAAAAGCTTGAGAAACAGGATTGTCCATCAGTTATATACTGGGACTTTTTGCAAGATGAAAGCTTTAATAGCTGGGATAATTTCATTTGTGGAGGCTTTTGATGAATCTGTTCAGATCATGCACTGCGAGCTGAATAAAATTCTGTCCCTGTGCACAGCAGATCCTGCAAACCCATAATGGGAGAGGATCTTGAGTTCCCTGCCTAAAATTCTTCAGGTGACTCAGGCAAATGAGCTCAAACCTCCCTTCCCTGGCAGGTTAAGGTACCCCAGGCCTGACCCTGATGAGGGCACTGCTTTTATGAGATTTTATGAACAGGCTGGGGGAACTTACCGGCAGATGAAAGTTGAAAGTCATATTGGGGAGGCACTGCCTTCAGCACACACAACTCTTTGCAAAATCCATTATCAAATTCATGTGTGTGTGTCCTGAAAAATGCCCAGAAGCTTTAGTTGTTGTTGCTAGGTAAGAAGGAAGGCATCATGGTAACTTGTCTAAAGCATCTATCAGTATTTATTAAGGTAATTAACATCACCAGAATTACTTTAGCCGCTTTATTACATCCCTTGTCCTCTAGATAATCCATCCCAGTAATATCTGCTGGGTGGGAGAAATAAAAATGTTGAATAACTGATCACCTTTCTCAGCTTGTTCACATTTTTTCTGGAGTTGTGTGAGTGACATTGAACCACTATTTGCCTCTACTTAGTGATGTGTAAAATATTCATAGTACTTAAATTAACTTTCCCTTGGAAAGTTCACTCAGCAGTTGTAAAGTCACTGTAGAAATGCAGATTCTTTTAACTTTCCATACCAAACAGGAATCTTGCTTCCCATATATAATTGCTATTTGCTGCTGATAATTGCAACCAAAGACAATGATCAGCAGTAAAAATGAACAATGTGAGTTTTATTTTTCACCTGGCTAAGAAGTTGTGTTGCTACAGTGATAAAATGATTATTATAAGATGGATGGATGTTTGTACAGGGGAGAGAGTGACCTCAGAGTATAAATCACCTCCACTTGGAGGGAAGTAGAAGCAAAGCCCATTTTTGTTTAGCATCTATCAAGTTTTGCAGTAATGTTTAATTTTTACCTTCCACTTGCAGAATAAAGCAATTGCTACACCAGTGCAAGGTGTCTGGGACATGAGGAATAAACAATTTCACACTGGAATTGAAATCAAGGTTTGGGCAATTGCCTGCTTTGCTCCCCAGCGCCAGTGCACTGAAGTTCATCTTAAGTAAGTGTTGTGTAAGGTGCCGATTTTATCATTTATTAAGGATGCAAATGTCATGATTTCACTTTTATTAAGAACATATTTTTGGTTTAATTGTTAAACACACAGCAATACATTTTCTGTGTCTTTGTGTTTTGAGTGATGCCAGTCTGATTTCAATGCCAGCATCAGGGAATCTTCCAAATCAGACTTAACAAAATCCATTTCTGCTTTATGGCAGATATCTGACCTGTGAATCCTTAGCACAGGGTTTAAGATAACAGAAATGGTGTAATAATGGGTGTTTATCAGTGGGTATTTCTCAAGAATGCCAGCTAACATGTGTGTTCTCTTTCCTGGTTATATGAAGTAGATTTATTCATGCAGAATTTCTTTAAAAGGAAATTTCTTGTCCAAAACCTTTTCCTCTTCAGAGTTTCTGGAATGTGCAAGTTGCTGTATTTGCCAGATGAGTAGGATTGGTTGTTCTATTGGGTTTAGGTGTTTGAATGAAACTTCCAGATGTGGTTTCTTTATCTTAGGATGGGACAGGATTGTTCAAAGACTGTTGTCACAGTGACATCTGCATTGGCTCAGGGAAGGTGTGCAGGCCCAGATCCATGTCTGATCCCTCCTTCCACGTGCAGCTGCTTCCCCTTCATGCATGGCCAAGTGCAGCAGCCCTGGCAGTGACTCAGCTGCTCTCTGGGAGGTGAATTCAAGGCAGGGGTTGCTCACACCAGTGGCATTGCCAGGGCACTGTTCCTTCTCATGGTTTGCTAAACAGCTTGGGAATTTTTCCCTAACAAGTGATGAGCAAACAGTGGGAATCTTTTACTGCCCATTGTGTGAGGAAGGGAGGGACTTTTCTCTCCAGGCACATGTCAGGAACTGGGCTGCCAGAGAACTTTCCTTTCCATGGTGTTGCTTCTAGTGGAAATGCTGTGTAAGCCAAGTTACTTAGTTTTGAGAAATAGACAGAAGTCCTGAACATAATGAGCCAGAATAAAATTATTTGAATGGCTTAGAATGAGTTTTTATTTACCATGAAAGGACATTGCTTCAAGCCAGGAAAATGTCTGCATCCTGTTCCATCTTGTGGTCTCTTGTTACGTCTTGTTGATCAAGCTGGAACTCAAATGCTGCTGATTCAACAGAGGAAACACCTTCAGATGCTCTAAAATCTTCCAAATCATCCTGCTTTACCTCTTAGGAACAGAGAGAGAGCCTTTCCTTCCTACAGTAGGCACTGTACTTCCAGATGGACTCAACCCTGACTTGTTTCACACTTGAATGTTGAAATCGCAGAAGGGTTTGGGTTGGAAGGAACCCTAAAGATCATCTTGTTCCAGCCCCTCTGCCATGGGCAGGGACACCTTCCCCTAGACCAGGCTGCTCCAAGCCTCACCCAGCCTGGCCTTGGACACTCCCAGGGATGGGGAGATGTTCTGCCCCTGGCTCTGCTGTAGTGAGGGCTTGTTTTTCCATTTTCTGCAAGGAGCCTCAGGCTGCAGGGCTGGAGCTCACAGGCCCTTATGATTCATGCAAGTTAACAACAGGTTTGGAAGAAGCTGAATCTTCACACCCTCTCAGCCAGTGATACCCTGGCACCCTGTGGTGGGGATGAGCAATGTTTTAGACAACTGTGGGGAGGTTAATAAATAAAGGGCTTTTAGCAGTGAGCTAAAAAGGCTCTCAGGTGGAAGCCTCTGAAGAAATTTGTCTCCATATCTGACCAGTTCCATCAAAGGGTGACTTTTTTTTTACCAGCCTAGGAGAAGTTTTGCCTTCACCTCCAGGATTTTACACATTTTCTCTGGCATCTATGAAATTGTGCATTATTATGGATGCTAAAGCAATTCACTGAGACAATTGCTGGTAATTTCTGTTGATTGTTTTCATCATGAGGGAAAAAAAGGAATAACTCCAGCCCTTTCTCTGGTGGTAACATGGAGTTATGTTAGAGCAGGCTATGCCAAATTGTCATTATTGCAAAAAGTATTTTATCCTGTATTTCTCATAGAAATAAGGTAATAAGTTTTTTTCTTCAATGATGTTATTTATACAGCATATTTCCTGTCTTGCCTTCAGTGACTACACGGGCATTGCCAATTAAAGAGGCACATGGGGTTAAATTCCCAGGTTTTTGAACAGCACAACTCTGCAAGTTTAACAGGATTGTTCCATCAAAAATAACATCAAAACCAAGATGGGTTTTGACTGACTGATAATTTAACGTATTTCTGTGCCTTGCCCAGGTCCTTCACAGAGCAGCTGAGGAAGATTTCCAGGGATGCTGGGATGCCAATCCAGGGGCAGCCCTGCTTCTGTAAATACGCGCAGGGAGCCGACAGCGTGGAGCCCATGTTCAGACACCTCAAGAACACTTACACTGGGCTGCAGCTGGTCGTGGTCATTCTGCCAGGAAAAACACCAGTCTATGGTGAGTGAGTGCCAATGGTGCATTTCAGCCACAGCTTTGTGTGTTTTTTGTGAGCTGTCCAAAGCAGAGAGGTTTAATGCTGGTTTAACTCTATAAATGCCAGTTAGGGAATGGGCTGTAAATTAATTTTACTATTTTTCTTGTGCTGTGTGATGTCTTATATTAAGACCTAAGTATTTTCAGTATGTTTTCTATGCTTTTAATTTGTTTTTGCCATTTTCCCTGCTGATTGCATTTGAGAAAGCCAGCACAGGGTTTGGTCAGATTGGCATTGATAGGCAGTGGATTATAATATGCTTAATAAAACTTGTGTGCTGAAAATTCCAAGTGACTGAAGAAGTAATGGCTTCAAGAACTCTGTAGCTTTTAGAACACCTTTGTTTACTCAAACAATCTCCTTTGGCAAAAATGTTGAGTGAAGGAGATTTCAGTCTGTTTTTCTTTTCATTTCAGTTTTTTAACTCGGGTTGCAAGGATACAGGTGCATAGAAAATGAAAATTCAGCAAACTAAAAGTTATTTTTGAAACAGTGACAATTGGTGCATAAAACACATGGGTTTTAGTATGTTTTACATAAACCATGCATTTTCCAGCTCCTTCTATAGGCAGGACTGCTTTTTTCCTGTCCTGCCTCCCTCCTTTTTCACTTACCTTGCCCAGCTGGAGCAGCAGCCACTGTTTTTCTCCCATAGCTGTGTGCACTCTTCTCTGGTGCATCAGATCTACCAAGCAGCTGCAGATTTGTTTTATGCCATCCCTCACCATTTTAATATAGCACAAAATAATTTTCCAACTTTAATATTAATCTCTTACAAGATGAAAAGAGATTAAGCAAGGAACCTTAAGGAAATAGTACTTTTTCCCCCCTTGAATTCAGCCTGCAAACGAGGTGGCTTATCTCTAATTTGTACAATAGAAATTTGGTGCAAAATGACATTTTTACTATTCCTGTTTGGCATTAAAAGGGAATTCTTTTCCTCTACTTAACTACTGAGAGGATGTGGTACCACTCTGATCTTCTTTCTTTGTCATTATCTTTAATTATAGTTATTTCTGCCCCCTCTAATCTTCACTGCTTATTTTCACCCTACGCTCTTCCATACCCTGCACTTCCCATACCCACAGTCTTGTCTTTTCTTCCCACCCTGCTCTTTCCCTCTCCTGTTGCCAAAGAGGAGGGTTCATCTTCTCTGTGCCAATCTTGGAGCCTAAATTTCTTCCCTATAAGAGTGTGTGGGTCTCTGAAAACCTTGAAGTCTCAATTTTATTGTTTACAATAGGATTTGATTTAACCATTGGAATTGTACAGTGCTTAATGAGTTTCTTGGAGTTTTTATGGACCATTGTCTGCTGAGCTGGTCACTTTGCTATGCAAGTGATGAACTTGCAGTGAAGAACTGATAAACTTCTTGGCTGAATGTTGCTCAGCACTGCTAGATTTGTGTTACTATTCCAGTGTTTAATAATGCAACAAGTGCTCAATATCTTAATTTTATCCACATTGCCCACATCATTAGCCAAAGATGATGATATGATGCTACAACTGAAAAATAAGAATGAATTTTAAAAAATCATAGTTAATATAAGGCAGCAGTGCCTTTAGTTATTGCATTTAGGGCTGGTTAGGTGGAGCAGAGCAGAACTGGGGGGATGTTCTGGAGGCTGGGTGGGTTTCATTGTATTCCTTGTAGATTGAGCCCCACTGGGCAAAAACTCCAGGTGTAGTTAATTGTAGTTAAATTCAAGTCTCCTCCATGGTTTGATTTGCAATTTGCAAATTTTTTATTTTGTTTTTCTCATTGTGCAGCGGAGGTGAAGCGCGTCGGGGACACGGTGCTGGGAATGGCCACTCAGTGTGTGCAGATGAAAAACGTCCAAAGAACAACACCACAAACTCTGTCCAACCTCTGCTTAAAAATAAATGTCAAATTAGGAGGTGTGAATAACATTCTACTGCCACAGGGAAGGTAAGTTCATCTTTCAAAGGGGGAGAGGTTTTTGTGTTGCAGAGAATGTGAGACATGCTGAGATAACTGGGAGCCTTTATCTGCAGCCACAGCACTGCAGCTTCAGTGACTCTTCAGACAAACTCTTTTGGCTTCTAATAAATAGTTCTGCAAAAGTTAGGTTATGAAGACAGGAGAGGAATACTCTAAATGCTAAATAGATTAGGCCTATCAGCAACAGCAGCCATTGTATGATATCAACATCTAGAAAAAAATTTGAACCCTTTAAAAGATGCTGGGGTACATCCAAAGAAATGGGTGAAGAATTGGGGAAAACTCCCCCCTGTATTGCTTCCTCACAATGGGCACCATTATTGATGAAGCCCCACAGACGTGAGCTTAGCCTGTGATGGTTGTACAGCCATGTGTCCACATGCCAGAGGGAAAAATCCAGGAATTGCTCACCTTATTGACCTGTTGTGCAGACTGGGTAACAGCCACAGTAGCCTAAGTCATAGGATCCATGTTTAAATGAGGAGCTGCAAATGGAAGCACAAAATGTATCCACAGCCATGTGGCAGCCAAACCAGGCTAAGTTAGACCACATGGTGCCTAAGGAGGTTTCTGTGTTCACACAAAATTAGGTTACCCAGAAACTGCTATTCCTTTTTCATTATTTCATGTCAATGTCACGGAGCCCAACCCTGGGCACCAAAACCTCTGCTGGGTTAGGAGACAGGTGTCTGCCAAGGGAGGTGGGAATCTTCCTGGAATGGAAAAGATGAGATGGCCCCCTCCCTCCAAGTTATTGTGACTTTGGGGGCTTTCAGGCAAAGATGTGGTAAAGGAATAACAGTTTTTTACTAGAATATATGTATGTACATATGTATATATAACTATGTATGTAGACAAAAAGCAACATTAGCAGCAATAACAAAACCCAAACGACAACAAAAAATTAACAGAATTCCAAGACACCCAGCTATTTTTTTCTGTCTCTTAAGTACTGTCCATTCATCATCTCTTAGGCAAAAAATGGGAAGAAAATTTCCTGAGAGAAAAAAAAGAAACAATTCAAGAAAAAACAACAAAAGCCTAATCATCAACATTACCTTCCCATTTCTTTTAAAGAAGGTCTGCAAACAGATAAATTAATCTTCTTAACCATGAAATCATTCCCCCACAAAGAAATTATGGTGGTCCAAGATTTCCTGTTTGAAATTGTTTCATTAAGGAATAGAGTTCAAATTTAAAACCTGTGTTGTAGTGCTTTGGTGTTCCTCTCTTGGGGCAGTAGTTTAATATCTTAACCTAAAAATTTGTTTAAAACTTTCCAGCTTAGTTAAAAAAAAAATCTACTTTGCAAGTAATAACTTTGATACCTACTATTTTTGGACTTCCTTACCAAGACTGTTTTTTATTAGGAAAAATATATTTTTTCACAGTATCTGCATATGTGCATACTTATTTATTTTTCTCAGATGCCATTTGTTACTAAGGGATCAACTTTTTCTCCTTTCTTTGGTTCAGTGATAAAAACTGCAATTCTTCAAGTTTGAAAAAACTAGATATATTTTAAAACTAATTTTTAATTAAGAGCAACAATTAGCTGTGCTTTAAAAATCTGCCTGAGTATTTAGCATGAGAACCTTAATCAGGATTTTTAATTCCTGCCACAGAACAAGTGACCAACTCTGATCAAGTGCCAGTTGTTGATGAATTCCCTGCAGGAGTACAGAGTGCTGTTTATTTGAGTTGTAATGTGCTTTATTAAGCATAAATCTTGCTGCTTTTACAAATTTCCCTTCTCTTTGCCAGACCCCCAGTATTCCAGCAGCCTGTCATATTCCTTGGTGCAGATGTAACTCACCCTCCAGCTGGGGATGGGAAGAAGCCTTCCATTGCTGCAGTGAGTAAATTGTGTCCTGTTCTCTCTCCCTCCTGCTGCTCAGCTCTAATGCATTTTATTGCTTTCAATCCTTTTGTGGTCCATTGCTTCTGATTGCCTAATTATAGCATTATAAATTATTTTTCTGCAGGAATTTACTGAAACTTCAGAGAGCTTGCTCTGATGCTAATTACTTAAATGTGTGTATTAGCTTGTAAAATGCCTGAGTTGCTGATACACAGAGGAGCTTTTTTGGGAGCTGATATTTATTAGCAGGCTGATAATGAGCTGGTGCATGTTTAAATCTGCTTCTTCAGCACTTAGAAATGTTCAGAATTTCTTCATTGCTGATAGGGAGCTAGGCTGGCTCAGCTGTGGTTTCTGGGGACTCAAGCTTCCAGAAAACACAAAATGTGCAGTAATCTCTTGGAAATGTCCTTCTTAAGTACAGGGAATGGTCTTTAGCTTGTATTATGTCAAACACCTGTATTGGCTGCTCAGGATTGTTTAATAATGAAGTTCTTTGGTGATGTTATGTATCTGTTTTAAAAACTTACACCTGTGTGTTCAGGGAAAACCAGGTGGAGCTGTGTGGTATTTTCTGGGACCCCCATCAAGGAGAGGAATGATGAATCTAACTCCCTGTTCTTAGAAGGCTAATTTTTTATTTTATGTTACTATATTATATTAAAGAATGCTATACTAAACTATACTAAAGAGTAGAGAGAGGATACTTACAGAAGGCTAAAAAAGAAAAACTAAGAAAAACTTGTGACTCTCTCCTCCAGAGTCCAACACAGTTTGGCCCTCATTGGCCAGTAAGTAAAAAAATTCACATGTTGGATAAACAATCTCCAACCACATTCCAAAGCAGCAAAACACAGGAGAAGCAAATGAGATAATGTTGTTTTTCTCTGAGGCTTCTCGGCTTCCCAGGAGAGAAATCCTGAGCAAGGGGATTTTTCAGAAAATATGACAGTGACAGAGATGTGCTCACTTCTTCAGGTTTTTTGCTTGTTTATTTTTAAGTCCCATGTCACTTTTACAGGATGTTAATGTTTCATTAACAGAAAAATCCCTTCCCTTGATAAAAGGTGTGGATTTTTCTGTGGTCCATCCCCATTTCAGGCTTGCTGTCTCAGAATTCCAACTCCTATGCAACAGTCTGAATTATCTCAATGGCTTCATGGTATCAGTGCTCCAAACTGTATTTGAGTTTTTAAGTGCCTGTAGGTGCAAGCAAGAAATGAGTCTTTTAGATTTAAAACAATTTTCTGTTTCAGCAGGGTGTGCTGCCACAGGTGGACTAAACCCAGAGCTGTTTTCAAGCACATTTTAATTTCAAATACATCATTGCCAAGCCAACCACTCAGTGTTCAAAACAGTGCAGTTATCCCATGAAATAACCTTTATTTTAGTGCTCTCTGGTTTGATGCCAAGCATTTTTTCCAGGTTGTGGGAAGCATGGATGCTCATCCCAACCGTTACTGTGCCACGGTGCGGGTGCAGCAGCACCGGCAGGAAATCATCCAGGATTTGGCTGCCATGGTCAGGGAGCTGCTGATCCAGTTCTACAAATCCACCAGGTTCAAACCAACTCGAATCATCTTCTACAGGGATGGTGTTTCTGAGGGGCAGTTCCAACAGGTGATATTTGTCTTCTTGAAATTCTTATCGTGTACTTTCGTGGTAGTAATGGAATTTTAAAATTCCACCTCTATGTGGTTGGAGTTATAAGAAGTATAAGCGCAACAAATCTTCCCTCAACCAAGCAAGCAGGAGAAGTGTTTGCAGACTTTTCATGTGCTTTTGAAAGTAATTTTCCCCGTTAAAATATTTTCCCTGACAGAATTATAAGTGAAAAGTGTAGTTTTAGCACTCAAGTTATGTTCCACATCTGTTTCCTATTTAGTATATATTAGTGAGAGTGTATCCTATAGAACTTGGGTAGTAAAAAATAATTATATATTTTGTTAATACAGGATTAATAAATACTGGATTGTCGCAGTCATTTTTATTCTGATAAAACTCATCCTCTCATATTTATTTTGTTTGCTTGTTAGTACCCTATTTTATTAAACACTTTTCTATATATTTTAAAGACATTTATGTACACTTTTCTATACAGTATTTAAGTATGTAAATAAAAGATACAGACTTGAGTTGGCTTCTCAAAATCTAGGGGGAAAAGAGGAAAGGTCACTTGCTAAATTTGAATTGATAAAATAATCTTTGTATGAACTTTTGATATATTCTCTTTTAATTTGTTATTGCTTTTCACTGAAGTTTTCATGTACAATTAACCCACAGACTGAATAATTGGTTTTCTGGTTTGTTTCACTTTCCTTATTATTGATGTCTGTAGTCCTGCCTGGAACTGCAGAAAGCTGGGAAAGAGCAGCTGAGCACTTCTGGATTTTATCCCTTGTTCTAGTCTGAAAAATAATTAATCTGTTGTATTCAGCAGCCTAAATAAATGTTCATTTATATTTGGTAGTTAAAGAGATTTTGACATGCAGGTTATTAGTCTGAGCCTCGTGCTTGGAGCTGAGCAAATCTGGAAGCAGCTTTCTCTTGGCTCAAGAACCTGCTGATGCAATTTGCCCTCATGAGGGGAAGAAATTGAGATTTGGTCCTGAAAGCTTTGACATCTCATTACTCTGAGTGACAGTGCAAGAAGGAACAGGATACATTATCTGTGGATAAATAAGAGGAATTTATATGATGGCAATGGTTCATGCTGATCCCACCTCTCTCTGTGTGCCTCAGGTTCTGCACCACGAGCTGCTGGCTATCAGGGAGGCTTGCATTAAACTGGAGAAGGATTATCAGCCTGGCATCACATTCATAGTGGTGCAGAAAAGGCACCACACCAGACTCTTCTGCACGGATAAAAACGAGCGGGTACGTTCTGCTTGGCACCCCAGAGCTCCAGCCAAGTCACCAATTCTGTCCATTTGTGGTACTTTGTGGGGGGAGATCAATCTCCAATTGATTTTTGGTACTTTCTGTGTGAAGAGGAGACTCTTCAAGAGCTGTTGCTGAGAATGGAGAGTTCCTCATGGCAAAGATTTGGCTTTCCATGTTCTTTTTCCTTCTGTCAGGCTTCTCTGTGGGAGCACTTGGACCCCACCAGGCTTCAAGGCAATAATTAGTAACTCCCAAAGCTGACATGAACATGGTTGTTATATTAATAAATGCTGTGGTTACAGATGTTAAATTGTTTGAAAGTAAAGAGTATTTTGACATTCTGTTTTGAAGAGATTTTGAGGGAAGAAGTGGCCTGTCTGACAAGGAAGGATTGTCCCGTTGCAGGTATAAACAGGAAAAGTTACTCCTGTTCTGGAGTGGGAAGGTGAAAATAATTTGACAACTCAGTTGCAGGAAATTCTTTTTACATTATTCAGAAAACCAAATTTTTTAGGTAATTTCTAAGAAGATTTTGCAGAAGATCTCTTTTTTTTTCTTTCTCCATAGTAGAGGTACTGCAGATTTTCAGTTGGAACAAAATTTCAGTTTTGCACATTCTTCTTCACTTTCTGCTTTTTATAGATTTTTTTTTTGTTTGTTTGTTTTCCTGGCTATACAGCTGCAAATAAAAAAAAAACCCTTTGTGTTGTGCCTCAATGTCTTTGCATTTGCTGTTTACACAACAGGTTGGGAAAAGTGGAAACATTCCAGCTGGTACCACAGTGGACACAAAAATCACCCACCCCTCAGAGTTTGACTTCTACCTGTGTAGTCATGCTGGGATTCAGGTAAGACGTTTTGTGTGGCATGGTAACTCTTTAACTGTTAATGTTTGTACTAAAGCTCCTTTATCAGATGGCTTCTTGTCAAGATGAAAGTGCATTTCAGAGGTGAAATTTTGGGAAACACAGCCCTACCAATAAAAAGGGCAGGGATTAGTTTGATAGGCAGCAAGGAAGGAGTTTGTTTGCCTTTTAAAGGAAAAGCCAGCTGGAATGTGTTGAGCTGCTGCCCGTGGTTTTTGAGGACGCAGCCATTTCCCTGCAGCTCCCAGCAGAGGTTGGAAGCTCAGGAGATGTTTGGGAATGCTGATGAGCTGTGTGCTCTGGCTGCAGGGAACAAGCAGGCCCTCTCACTACCACGTGCTGTGGGATGACAATCGCTTCTCGTCGGACGAGCTGCAGATCCTCACCTACCAGCTGTGCCACACCTACGTGCGCTGCACGCGCTCCGTCTCCATCCCTGCCCCCGCCTACTACGCTCACCTGGTGGCCTTCAGAGCCAGGTACCATCTGGTGGATAAGGAGCACGATAGGTGAGTTCAGAGTTTTGCACTTTTGCACAATTGGAAGGCAGTGGGGCTTGTTAATTCTGGGGTCAGTGGTGTCCTCAGTAGTTTGAGGCTGGATTTGCTGTCACTGCTGATACAAAGCAGGTGTTCCTGTATGTGCTGTTTGCTGTTTCAGAACCTCAGTGGGGCTTTGGTCAAACATTAATTACCCTTATTCTGTCCAGAAGAAAGTAATGGTACAGAAACACATGCCAGGAGAGGCAGATTAATTAGGGTGTCACTATAGGGCACAAAACAACATGATCTGCACACACCGCTGCTCTCAAGGTGAAAAAAGAGGAGTTTATTTTCTGACTCCCAACATTTATAGATTTCCAAAAGTGAGAGTGAACTGGAGGGTGAAAGTGCCACCTCTCCAATGATGCTGGACAAACCAACAGTCCATCAAATTCCTCCTCCTCCACAAAAGAATGCAAAACAATAAGTTATTTACAGAAAGTGTGTGAGAAAGTTTGTTACGAGAATGTAAACATCAGAAGGCTCAAAAAATCAGGACAACAGTAGGGTTTCTCTTCCCCCCCCAACCTGTTGTTTTTTGTTTCCCCCCCTCCCTTCTCTTCCAGTGCTGAAGGCAGCCACACTTCTGGCCAGAGCAATGGCAGAGACCACCAAGCACTTGCCAAGGCAGTCCAGGTGCACCAGGACACGCTGCGCACGATGTACTTTGCTTGACACCTTCTCGTGTTCTGCGGCTCCGGACAAGGCAGAGTTGGATTCACACCAGACCAGCTGCACTTAGACCAACAGATGCCCCAGCCCAGGGACAGCCAGCAATGAGTGATGCATCTTTTTTCCTTTCTTTCCCATTTGCGAGGAAGCCTTCCGTCCAGAATTTCAGACTTGATCACAAACTGCGTTCTTGTACCAAACCCCGCTGTTGTCGGAAATGTGGTTTGCCAAAAATCTCTGAGCTGCTTGGTATAAAACAGACCCAGATTTTGTAATTAAATCAAGAGCTGCAATCTCAGGGCTTAGGGAAGATAAACAAAAAAAACCAAACCAACAACTCAACCCACAAAACTCCTCATTCAGTTTGCTGTTCATTGAGTTGCTTTTGATAACTTGGAAAGATCTAATTCATACTAAGGTTTGATGAGCTGAAATGCTGTGAATCAGCTTTTAGTACAAAGGAAAGCAAAGCATTTTTTGAGTATTTATGAAGCCTTGATTATTCTAGATGCATTTACAAATTTTTTATTTTCCAAATAAGAGCGTGACAAAATTCTGGTTTCTAATTGTCTTATAAAGATTATTCTCAGATTATTCTCTGTGTGTCTAAGGACAAATGTATTTTCTGAAGCTTGTTCTTGAATGTTTTTTATTGTGCTGCATTTTAAAATGTTTTTCATAGACTAAAGATGGACTTAAAAAAACAAAAAAGAAAATAGTAAACCTGTACCTAAGCTTTTAATAGCTCCAGTTAGATTGGCAGAAGAAAATGTGCCATTTAAAAAAATTTCTAAAGATTTTTTAAAAATCATACTGACAGCTAACTTTAGGATTTGTCATACAGGACTGTGACACTTACTTTCCAAAGTCTCTAAAGAATACGGGTCTGTGGTGATAAATACAGTACAATCCTTTTTCACTGTTGTTTGAGTTAATGTAAATTTTATATATGTTTCACAGTATTAATGTGATAGACTAGATGCTATTATTTATTTTTATTTACTAAGGAGTGCTCATTATACTTCTGTTAACATATCAAGAATGCTTTGAACTTAGAAAGTAAGATCCTTTTTGTGGGGACATTACTCTTCAAATGCAAAAAAAAAAATATGCAATTGATGTGGTGAGAGGAGAGAGATGCAGCCAGTGTCTGTTGTAGCTTGGGATTTGCAGAAAGGCTTTTTCAACACAGCAGGATTTACCTCTGCGGTTCAGACGCACACAAGACCAACATCCTACATCCATACAAGCACAAAACAATTTGTATTTTATTTATGTGTTGAGTAGTGATGAAGCAGGAGCTCTGCTAGAGGAGAGTGGCTCGCTGGAAGTTAGGCACAAGTCAGAGAATCTATGCAGTAAAGATAAAAATGAGGAAACTGAAGTTTACTTAGGGAGGGAGGTGAAGTTCTCTTCATTATGCATAAGATCTGTAGGAAAGGTGAGAATTTTGCCATTCTCTTAGGAGAAGCATTAATTAAAACTGATAATTATGAGATAGATGCTTCTGTTAGTTTGCACACTGGATTCATAAAAACCATAACACACATGTAAACCATTGCACTAATGACAATGCCACGAGCAGGTTTAGGAGAAAATGGAAAAAGCCCAGGAAAGTTGTTTATGCTGACTTGATCATGTTTGTTTTTCCATGGGATAAGTGAAATAAGATGCTGAGAGGCAGGTTGGAAAACCTTCATTCTCCTCCACTGATGGATTTTGTTTTGTCTTTTCCCTTTTCTCTGGGCTGCTCAGTCTCTGTTTGGACACTTTACCTCTGGCCACTGGGATGGGCAAGTAGCTTTAAGCCATGCAGAGCTCTGGGCCACAGAGCAGCTCAGCTGCCACCAGGTGGTGTTGGATAAGCTAGAAAATGCCCAACCTTTGCTGCATCAAGCCTTTTTTAGGTACATAATTCCAGTTCAGATCTTCACCTTGTAGCAGTGTGTGAGTTGTCAATGTTTTGTAGGTGAAATGTAAAACCTGTTAACAGAATAATCATATTTGTACTATTCTGATTGGGTGATTAGGCTGCTGGCTCAGAGTGTCTTCTTGGTCATAGCTCTATAAATTCAGATTTGTGTAAATTTGAAGCAAATCCTAGGTAGCATTGTCTGTCTTGCTGTGTGCCAGCGAGGTTGTACCTACCTCCCCTCAAGCTGCAGATCCTCCCCGTGGTGGGTGTCTTGCACTTCTCTGTGTTTCCTTCAGAGCTTTCCTATTTCAGTGAAGATATTCATTTGGCAGAGTTTTATATAAGAATTATTTTTGTATGAATTCTTCTTATCAAATAGGATAAAGATCATCCATTTTAAGGCATCATTTAACTTATTTGCTGTCTGTTATGCAGAGACCTCTTGGATGTGAAATTCATCCCCCTCTTTCCATGCAGGTATGGGACAGTGGAATTGTACAGGTGATCAGATGGGGTGGGGAGGGCAGGATCTGGCTTGACCTCAAATCTCATTTCTGAAGCAGCCTGGGACTGCACTGCATCCTATTTAAGATATTTCCTTTGTGAGAAAAGGAGTTTCAGGCAGGCCCTTAATCTGAGAGTAGCTGTTGTTTGTGGATCCTCTTGGAACAAGCAGAAATTATGTAGCTTTCCTTCCCTAAGTATGGGGAACTTGGGATGTTTATGTGCATTTCAGGACATTTTTACCTTTTACAGACCTTTCTAAGCCTCTAATACTGCTAATTATTTATGCCTTGTGATTCACAGAAAGACTCCACAACTGGTAAAGTTGTAAAGTAGGTCTGCATTTATTTGGTGATGGGCAAATTGATTTCTAACCCTCATGTTTCACTTGTGTCTTCCTCCTTTTCCCTCCCACCAGTGGTGAATTAGTGAATAATTTAAAGCATTTAAAAAAATACTGATTAGGTATATACCTTGTGAAGTACAGCATGCTGGCAGTGCAGCACCTCTTTCTGGGAATATTTCTAACATAAATTACACATTCAAGAATGTCTCCTATCCAAAAAAACCTGCCACAAGCACATAAAATCCTAGAATTATTTTTATTCTGTACCTCCCACATGTCTGGTATAGAACAGCAACATCTCAGGTCAGCACAAAGCCCAAGAGGTCTCAGTCTGCCCCAGGCTGTGGTGGAGCAGTGCCAGCTGAGGTCACAGCTCTGGGTCTGGGTCACTGTGCAGGTCTGCTCAGCAATAACCAAATTTGTGCCACCCTTGGGCACTTGGGGAGTTTTCCAGCCCGTGCAGAGGAGTCCCATTGCACAGCCCCCCAAAACAGCATCAGCAAATCTGAAATGCTCCTCTCGGGAGGTGACAAGTACTGTCAAAATACACAAAATACTTTAAAGTTTGTCTTTTCCCCTGATGTGCAAAATCTAATGCAATAATGAGGTTTGCTTGGTGGTGGAGATTTCTGCTGCAGTGGCTGAACAGAGTCACCAGTCCACTCCATCTGTTCCAGCCCCAGGAAACAACTGAGCTGATCCTGAGCAGCAAATCCTGTGGGAGATGCTGGAGGGAGGTGGATTTGTCTCTGCTTTATGTGGCATTTTAGACAGCCCTATGCAATTTAACACATGTTGTGTATGCACTGATGTACAGACTGAGGTCACTTGTTTTATTAGAGCTCCTTTTTTTGGCTTGGCTTGCTTTAGAATATTTGACTTTGTGAATTACAATCAATGATCTTCCATGTTCCACAGGAATTCCCTTGTTTCTTGATCTGTCAGGTAACAAATCCCTTTGATCTCCATCCAGGCCCCCAGGCAGGGTTCCCTGATTGGCAAAGCAAGAAGGTTGTGAAGGTTTGGCTTTAATTCTGCCTCTCTCAATAACTCTTGCAGCCTTTGTTGTAACAGAGTCTTGTTCTTGTTGGATCGTTTTTATAACATAGGACAAGAGGTTTTTCCACAAGGATTATCAATCTAAAACTTCTGGAGAGGAGGTGTGAGGAGTTAAAGTTTTTTTTCCTGACTAAAGACTTTTGATAAAATAGCAGACTCAGTCAAATAAGCACCTCTGGTGGCATAAATAACCCGTAAGGGACTTTTTTTTTTAAATATATCTTTTACTCATTAACTAAAAGAATGTAAGAAGGGTTCTCAGTATTTTTCACACTTGAGACCAGTGTCATTAAACTCACTTCTTTTCCTGGTTTTGTAATACTCTTCTCCTACCATAGTATCTCTCTTTGTGTGGCTTTCCCCATTCCCAATGCAGGGCAGTCCTTTGTTTTGTACTTTTATATTCCATTTGGTCACATGCTTCTTGATGCACACATGCCATCTTTCTTAAGGAAAACTTCAAGTAGAAGGTAATTGCACTGATTTTTGGGTTTTTAAAATTCCCTTTTTACTGTAAGATTTTTTTTTTCTGCATCTGCTGTAGCTGTTTGAAAATACTGTAAATAGTGCTCTGCACAGCAAGTACAGAAATGCTGGGGATGCCATTCCTTGTTCTATTTTCCACAATACTGCCATGTTTTCCAGTGCTGAGGTGGGAGCTTTGGTGTTAAATGCTGTTATACTCTGTGTGCATTATGGTATCAGTGCAAGAAGGGCACAGTTGCTGTGTCACAGTGGAGATATTTAGGGTTTGTGTGAATTTATAAACATTTCTTCCTTCTCTCCTCTGTTCACATTTCTCCCAGACCAGAGAGATGCAGTTTTTCAGCTCTCACTGTGCTCATTATCTGTGCAAGGTTCAAATGCCAATTTTGGTATCAGTTTGATGCCTGATGGCATTAATGTAATATTTGAATTATCAGATGTAGCTCTCAAGGTGTTCCTTGGTTGTGTGATTCTTGTGTTGTAGAAGCAGAATCCTTGGATGTGGCAGAATTAGTGGAATGACAGGGATTTTGATCCAGTTATGATGTCTTGCTGTCTGTGTGGGACTGGGCAGGGCAGAGGATGTGTCAGTGCTCTGAGCTGCCCTTGGATCTCATCCATCCATCAGCAATTGCCTTTTGCTTCCAGAACCCCCAGGGACAGGACAGAGACCAGCTCCAGCCCCACTGGCTGATTTAGGGTGCAAACCAGCAAGTTCTGCCTTCTGTTTCTGAGGGCTGATGACTGGAAAGATACATTTCTGAGAGGGTTTAATCCAAATTGTATGGGCAGGGGGTGCTGTGTGTGCTTGGTGTGGCACAGAGCTGTTTAATCCCATTTAGTGTTTCAGTTGCTTTGTCAGAGTTGTTTCTTTGAAGTGTTAATTTGAATGTAATTGCTTGGCCAAATCACTACAAAAGTGGCTTTGGAGGAATCTTTAGTTTCAAAGCAAGTGCAGTTCAAGGCTACCTCCTGTATTCCTTCATGGGAGAATTAATTGAAGTGAAATTCCCCCTAAGCAGCCAAAATGCTCCCAGAGGGATGGGGTTTGTGCCATACTGTGATGCTGGGGGGCTGCTCAGCCTTCCAGGGGCATCCCTGTTACTGAGAGGGTACCAGGCCTGGCAAGGGGCACATCTGGCACATCTGCTTCTGGTCAGGGTCACTCCATAGTGCAGCTCCCTCTGTGACCTGTCCCAGTTTCTATACTGTTGTTTTCCAAATGAAAAATGTTTCTGTACTTTACCTGTTGGCCAGAAAGTGTCAGGTTTTCTCTGCAAATGACATTAAGGTGCTTGAAATATATTTTGAATCTGAGACAAAAAATATGTATTGGATTATTTTTTTAGTGTGTTTTTTAGCTAAGGTGACGTTGACTGTAAGAATGAAAATACTTTATTCCCTGCTCAGAAAATTATATAAAATGTGGGGGAAAAAAACCAAACCAAAACACAAAAAAGCAACCCCAAACCTGAGTATGTTCATCTGGGGACTGTTAAGTGTCAGTTCTGTGCAAAATCTTGGCCAAAACTCAACCTTGACATCAGTGCACGTGGACTGAGGGTACTTCAGGTGACCTGAAATGAAACTGTAGAAAACTGTGTTAATGCATCAGATTTTGTTTACAATTATTCCAAAAGCTTCCTCATTCCAGAACAAACCACTCTGCTGACAGAAATACCTGTTGGAGCACATTGTGTTGTGTGGTTTCATAGCAGTGTTAAAGTTGATTTTTATTTACAAGTTACTGAGCTTTCTGCTGTGGGTTTTGGCCTGTCAGAGTGAGTTTCTTGGGATTCTGTGCTCCTTGTGATTTCCTTCCCTTAATCTCTGGCCTAGACACTAATGAAGCTCATCCATGGCAGGAGGATTGCTTTATGTGCTGACTTTGTGGAACCCAGATTTTGCAAGTAACTGAATAAACCATTTGGGTTTATTCTGTAAAATCCTGTCAGTTTGGTTCAGTTCTCAGTCATGATTTCTCAAAGCCCGCCAGAAGTGTGAAGTGCAGGGTCAGTGGCTGCTCTGGAGAAGATGTTTCACTACATTGTGCACTGCAGATTGTGGACACTATTGCTGGCAGGGCTGGCACTGAGCAGAGATGCTGAACAGCTCCTCTGTCATTGGTGAGAGCAGAGTTTTGTGTTTTCCAGACAAGGCAGACCCAGGATCATCAGGAAGTTTGGGGAGTGAAGGATGTCAGTGCTGGATGCTGCTCATGCCCCAGAGAAGAGAAACCCTGGGTACCCCAAGCCTTGGGGAAATGAGAGAGGAAGGAGGCGAGACATTTCCTTCAAAATTGCCAGTTTAGGGACTTGTTAAGGTGACAGTTGAATTCTTAGTTTTCCTTCTGGCTCCTCTGCAAGTGCCCCTGAGAAATCCTGCACCCTGCACCCATCTGCTGGCCCATCCAGGAGGGGAAGGCTGCAGGGAGCTCCCTGGGTTGATTTGTGATTTTGGGGAGCTCTGACTTGGCTGGGGCTGGGCCAGGGGCGCTGCTGGATCTGGAGGGATGAGAGGTTGGCAGGAGTTCCTGTGGGAGTTCTGCAGGAGGCAGCCCTGCAAACCCACAGCACCAGCTGCAGCCTGTGCCTGCTCCTTCCTCCCACCTAAAAACCCCCCAAAAAAGCAATTCCTTTGGATTTGTCCATGTGCTGCCTCAGCAGATCCATTGTAAACCTGCCTGGGGCTCCCTGAGGAGCCTTGGCTTGCAGGGCAGTTCTGTATCAAGGGGAATGATCCTTTCCATGGGGCTCTCAGGAGTGCACAGGTTTTAGTTGTGTTTTTTCCCCACATTTTGGATGTGCTATTGAACCACAGACTTGAACTTTGTTATTTTTTTTTCCTCCCTTCTTTAAGCACAACTAAACCACTGCTCCCTGCTCATCAGCAGGGATTGCAGATGCTGTCTGACCTGGGAGCAAGCCTAGGAGTTGTCCCCAAAATATAAATTTAAACTTTTCTGGTAATTTTATAGGGTTTTTTGGGTGTGCTTGGCAAGCATGAATGGTGCACAGGT